TTGTATGCACCTTTAATAAACAGAAAACACACCCACTTATGTAAAACATCAAGAGTCCAAATCCCACCAAACGTTAAACCGTATGTTTAATACCTATGGCCAGCTATATCCCCTTGTTTCTGGAAATATATCTAGTCATTTGCATCATTATTGTAAATTAAAAGACAAGACCAAATAAACATACAACTACAATACAATAAAAAGTGCATTTTATTTTAATTACCCTTATCGATGAACAAATCAACCCCAAATCCTCTACAAACAAAGTGGTTACTTTTATTCATCGTCTTATATTACTATTGTTTACCATTGAAGTAATAACATTTGAGGTCCAATTTAAATCTTCTTTTTTTCAGAGGCACCTTTGATCAATAATTTAACCAATCATATATATGCAACAAATAAAACAAACCTATTCATTCCGTGTCACGTTACCGGATACCCGGTGCCTTATGTCACGTGGACCGTAAACGGAAGTAGAATATCGAACAATGACAAATTTATTGTCAGAACAGATGGACTTCAGATACAACGTGTGGCATATAATGATCATGAAAATTATACATGTACAGCACGTAATATTTTAGGAACAAATAGCAGAACAGTGACTTTGGACGTTATGGAATCACTTTAAACATATCTATTTCAGAAATATGTTCAGTTATACATGTGTTGTTTATTGTATATATATACACATAAGACATTGAAAAAAGTTGTGTTTGATCCACTTTTCTTTTGAACGATACCATATGTTAAAACTAAACAAGCGTTTAACATGTAAAACATGTTTACAATTGTTGCCATTTTTTACCTCAAAATATTTCAGGGTAAAAAAAAATAAAAAATGGAAAGTCCATAAAAAAGGTTAGCACCGAATCCTTAATTATATCAATCAACATTGTGACTGTAATACAACAGTCATATTCTCGACTTGGTTCAAGAATTGTCCGAAGAAAATGGTGCAAACATATCACAGTGTTCTAACGATTTGTCATAGACATTACAGTCAACATTTTAATATGTATTGATAAATCATAATTGTTTTACGTCCAAGGGCATACGTATTCACAACAAGGACTAATAAAACAATAAATGCAAAAGAGAGACAAAAGATACCAGAGGGACATTCAAACTCATAAGTCGAAAATACGACATGACTCAAAAAGGAAAAAACCAACAGACCAACAGACAAACAGACAAACAATAGTACACAAAACACAACATAGAAACAACGAAAGACTAAGCAACACGAACCCCGCCAAAAACGGGTGGAGATCTCAGGTGCTCCGGAAGGGTAAGACGATCCTGCTCCACATGTGGCACCGGTCGTGTTGCTAATGCTAGTTCAAACCCGGTAATAAGTCTAATTCGGTGGGTCACATTCGTGTGAAGGGGACGATTTGTAGTTACGACATACGGAAATATCCGCTATCATATGTGAAACGGACATTCCATAACGGTCAGTCAACTCATAATGGCATCCATAAAACTTACGAACGGGTGATTTCAACTTCACCACTTGGAACTCTTGTGTTAATAGCTTCCTTGTGAACAGCAACCCTATACATGTATCAAAGAAATCACGAAAGGTAATACAAGCCCTAAAATATTGTATCAACTGGGAAATATATACTCCACCTTATGCAGGTGCTGCTGGAATGTTGCTACATAGAAATTGAAAGTTCACAAATTGGAAGCTGTAATCATCTCTTTTATCGTAACGTTTTCAACAGATCCTCTGGCAATGTTTAGATGTAAGTCAATATATGAGGCAGACTCAATTGTATCTGTTGTAATCTTTATCTCAAGTTCCATTGGATACATGCATTCCACAAAGTCACCAAATTTTGAATTATTTAGTGAGAAAACATCATATTTTTAGCGGAAAGTAAAGTTAAAGGATACTGCCAACTTCTTTTCTTTCTTTTTAAGCAATTCCTGTATGAAATCAGTATTATTTGAATAAAGGAACAATTCGTCAAGAAGAGGGGCACAGTGCAAAATACAGGTTCTGCACAATAAATTGATAAGGACTCTTACTTTGGTTCAATCATGATTTATAACAAACCTTTCTAAAGATGATCGTTTATAAATTTTGAAATTATTTAAAACAACTAAGGTCATATAGTTTCTTTATTTTCTCAAACTGATATCTGGCGAAATAAATTAATCAAGTTAGTGAGAAATATAGTGTTGCATTTTATCGACCGGTCATTTTATTATGCTTTACATACTGTTATATTTCATTCTCACATTTTCGAAAAAACAATAACAAATTTGTTGTAAATAAAGGCAACAGTAGTAAACCCTGTTCAAAAGTCATAAATCGGTTGAGAGAAAACAAATCCGGGCTACAAACTAAAACCGAGGAAAACACATCAATTATAAGGGGAAAACAACGGAACAACAGAATCACTGAAGTGCAGCAAAAACAAACGCCAATGAAACAAATTATTTGATAACAACTGCCATATTCCTGACTTGGTACAGACCATTTTAAGAAAAAAATAGTTTATTGAACTTGATTTTATGGCTAGTTAAACCTTCAACTCATATGTAATATAGATCAATTTCCACTAACACTAAATGATATAAATGCATCTGAACTATTTTTACCAGAAGTGCTTGATCCTAAGACATTACCAACTGCAGTTGTACGTAATTTGTTACACAATCATTCTAACCTTTCACTAGACATGATATTGAATAACCAATTATAGCATATACATATATAGAAGGAAAACTTTAAGTAGGAAAGATAATCTTTAAAATAACACCTACAACTAAGTTAGAATTGTCCAAATTATAAGTCATGACAACTACGATTGCGTTTTACAGATGAGATTTGTGTCAATCATAAGCACAAAAAAAAAGTGTTTATAAACATAGGTAGTGACGTCGTCATGCATGAAGTCAGCATCATAAGAATAAAGGAACAAGTTGGCAAGAAGAGAGGCACATGCAGTTGGTTTCCATGAGAATGCCGTTTGTGTGTTGAAAAACACGTCCTCCAATATTAACAGATATGTTGTCAATTCAGAAATGAAGCATCTTGATAATGTCAGTTTCAGAGTATTTTTTGTTTGAATCAGAGTGATTTTTGACAAAGTAGGATTTATCCCTCTCTAAAACCAGATACTTGTATTAATGTTAACCATTCTTTTATATTCTTTTTTTGTCCAACCCTCCATAGGAATTCTTCCAAATATCAAATTGAAAGCAGTTAATTCTATCACAATACTGATGAAATGTCTTTACAATAACCGGGGGAAAACAATCAAATAAAAGTGAAATTAGAAAAAATACAGGAAAAAAGTCACAAAGCTATCAAGAAACAAAGTTACAGACAAAAATCATTTCGTAACTTTTTAGTGGTATTTGGTACTCATGAAGTATTTGTATAGGTTGCATTTCTGTAAATATAGACAATACAATTTCCAATAGGAACTCATTTTACGGCTAAAACTGTACCACTTCTACTATGAAGTTTTGTTACAAATGCTATCCTTGAATGGAAATCTCATATGTACTACTATTTTTTTCAAAGGTCAAAATATAGGGCTGTACAGCATATTTTCAACATTAAGATGCCCCGAATTTCAAAGAGTTTACACTTAAACTAAAATTTTGTACTACTCTTCCATTCATTTTGGGTCTTCTTCAGAATTCAAGGCACTGTTTATGTTTATTTATACTTGTAACATTTTCAAGTTATGTCTCTATGAGATGAAACACGGAGATCATATCTGGGAACCAGTACATTAACAAAACAAAATATCTATGAATATCATATATCTCCCCAAAAGAGGCGTGGTTTGTGAAACAGCTGTATTTACAAAGTGCTACCTATAACCGTTATGTGCGTATAGTGCATGTAAATGCAACTGTATTCCGTTTTTAACCATTATGTCCTATTGTAACGTTCAAAATTATCTTCTTTAAAGTACCTTGTCATTTTTAAGATTAAGAGGAGGAGGATTCAGACCAAAAAAACCCAAAAAAAACAGAAAGTTAAAACCAGTATTGGTAACCCTGCCACATATATAATGATATGCCTGTTCAAAGTCAGGATCACTGTAATTTGTTTTGGTATGGTATAGCTTATTGAATCGAAAGTTACTTTAAGTGGTTGTTTTTTTTGGTTTCTCGACGGTTGTTTGATTGGAGTGTACATACAATTCCTTTCATTAATGCTACATATTGCATTTTTTAACCTGGTGGATGTTGAATCGTAATAAATATTTCATTTGTCTATTTTTTTCTTTGTATTACAAGCCTCACAGTGTGTGTAAAATGAAGTTTTGAGTTACCCTTTATAAAATGTCCTTGTTATTGACTCGCTATAGAAAATTCTCTTTTTCAATCATGATCTAAAATTAAGAAAAGTATTGATCTAGCGCATTTAATTCATATCAAATAAATGAAAACATACTACTCAGATCAACTGATCCATATAACCTAGATCATCAAACCCATACTATCATATCAACGGACACATACTATCAGATCAACGAACCAATACTATTCAGATCAATAAACCCATACTATCCAGTCAACATTGGGTGTAAAGAACCCATGCTACTTGGATCAACGGAACCATACTTCTTAGAGCAACGGACCTATTTTTCTCAGATCATTGGATCCATATAACCCAAATAAACAGACAAATGCACACAACTGAGATCAACGAACCCATGTATGTCCGTGGTGTATGTTTACACCGTTTTGGCTTTTGAATCTCAATTATATTTAGATTATTATATTATGTCTGTTTTGGTTGCTTATCAAATTAGGTCAATATTTACGACACGATCGATCGATCGATCATTTAAGACTGTACTTCTTTGTTAGATGGACCTTTAAATATGGATTGTGTTCGTTCTCTGCTACTGTTAAAAGTTATTATTAGCCATGAAATCTAATGCGAAACGCGTTATTATAGACGACTGATAAACCTGTCAGACAAGTTTCTAAAATTAGAGTATTTCAACATAATAACTATGATATCACCTTAAAGAATATCCCGTATGTTGATATGACTCGTCTTGACGTCAGTCGGCCAAATAAATGTATTTAAATATGTAACTAAAGTAAAAGTTCTTTTCAACCAAGAAGACGTTTTCAATTTTTGAAGGTAAGTTTGATTAGTAATATTAAATATTTGTACATATAGTTCCTTATGCAGACATTAATTTAAGACATGATCTAATCTAGATATGTGTCTTAAAATTATATGACCGTTACGAGGAGAATCATATAGACACGTAAACACTGGCGGACATATGAGCCACACTTTGGCTGCAAACTTTGTCTTAAGTGCATTATTAAAATACTTCCCAAAACCTCTTTATTCCACCCTTTTAAAGATCTAGATATGCCATTTGTTGTTAGAGTGTACTTCCTGTTCTTCATATCCTTTTCCTTGTTATAAAAAACCCGAATCTATACTATTGGAGACTACAGTCAGTGATAATTTGCCAATAACTTTTTAAGTCATTACTTTACTTACTAATATGATCTAATTTATATTAAAAAAAAGTTGAAACCAATAGAATAATTTTTTTAAGCTGATACCATAGTTATTCTTTTAAAGTAATCTAATTTTAGAAAGTAGTCTGACATGTTTTCCAGTCGTAGTTGTTTCGTATTTGATTACATGTCTAATGATATCTTTAAAAGTAGCAGAGAACGATAAAATCCGTATTTAAAGGTCCATCTAACAAAGAAGTACACTTTTAAATGATCGAGTCACGTGTCGTATATAATTTCTTAATATAATATTTTTAAAAATATTATCAGACATTATGTTTATGTAATATGATTGGAACACATAAAATGATTACGCTTCTCGTTGAACAGTCGGCACTTCAAAGGAAGCACTGATTTTCATAATTTGGGTAGTTGGTAGACCTATAATCATCGTGATTTTACCCATTTTATGAGATGGCTGATTGGCAGGACTACAAGTAAGGGGCTGAACCTGTTCCATAAGTGGGCGAGTGAAATGAGTGAAAACAGTTCATAGAAAGTGGGGCGATTTTGTAGAAAAGTGGGCTGATTTGGTGTAGGGCGATTGTCATGCTTCATTTCTTGATAAAAACTTACTTATACTGCAGACGACATTTTGCTTAAAATTAAGTTTACGGTTTTCCGATTTTTTTTTCTCCCCATTTTATCGTAGAGTAAGCATGTACACAGAATTTTGTCTGCTCCATATAAATCATGTAAAGTAAAATTTTCTGCCTGATTGCAGAAAGTGATGTTTCATTTTAGGGAGATTCGCTTTTGCATCAAGCAGTGAGTCAAAGAGAACATAGATTTGTCGAGGTGTAAACTTGTCAGAACGAAATAACATGATAAGCCGTATTTAACTGTATTTGAATTGCACATGTGCTTTTATTTTCTATTCAATTGGTTATAATGCTACGCATACCTATACAAATGCATATATAAGACAAGTAAATTCAAACACACACTTTAAGTCTATTATCTAATTGCACTTCCCAACCACCGGTTTCACCACTCTGTGATATTGATATATGAAACAATGTAAACAAAGCCATAGGTAAAATTGAGAATGGAAATGGGGAATGTGTCAAAGAGACAACAACCCGACCATAGAACAGATATCAGCCGAAGGGTAACATGAGTTCACGATAGTCTGTAAGTAATCTTAAGTAAGAAGCTGATGTCTTATTTTTCAACTTCGTTGACTTTTTTTAATAGACTTCCTCCATATATGTGTTCAGTATTTTGGTCGTCCAATGGTAGACAAGGAGAACATAGTATCTCAAGTTTAGTGAATGTTTTTTACTAAAAAAAACGCTAAAAAACTTCTGGATATATCTTTTTCTTGTAAAGTGACATTTTTATTTTTTCAGGAATACATGGCCCATTAAGTAATAATGGTCATGATGATATAGGGTTTTCTTGGCCATAAGAAGCACTTCTGAAGCCATGGCACCCCTTTCTGAAGAAGAGGAAAATTATGTCCGCCTAGCATTGTTATTGAAAGGAGTGACACCTAGAGCAGTCCGTACTTATTTTGACAGAGAATTTCATCCTACATATCTACCCTCAACACTGAATAAAAACTACAACACTCTTTTGAACTTGAAATTAAAAAAAATCATAATTCAAGCTCAATGGAATCTTATGATTCTAAGAAATGGTACGTCTTTATGTTACTGTAGACATTTGAATTTTGATTTCATAAACATGAGATTCAAAACATTTGTTTGTTCTTGTCATGTCTAAAATAAAAACATTTCTGATAAATGATTGACTTCTTCAATAATTCTTTTATTACAAATTAATTTCACAAACTGTATGTGTTGATTAATTATGTTCATTCATTCCTCTATTGCCTAGATGTAGAAGGCAAGACATTGTTTATATGTTGCAATCATATAAATAGGACATAACACCGCCAGGGGTATTACTTAAAGTAACTTTTCAAAGGGGACGTCTTTCCGTCCTTTTGTCTGTGCGTCCGTCCATATGTCTTTCCAGCGGGTCTTTTTAGCGCATGCTTATGATACTTATATCATAGATTTATATTCGCAATGTCTTGGACAAGCTCGCAAATCGGTGCTGATAAAAAAAAATGTAAAAGAGTGATGCTCCTTCGAAATGTTAAGTATTTTGAAAATTACATTGTAAGCGCTCTCATCATGTGCAAAATATTTGCCAGATTATTTTGAAACTTATATCAAAAGTTTATTTCTTCAATGATGGAGAAGTTCGAAAATCAGTGCCTAGCGAATCTTTCTTAAAACAAGTTACGCCTCTTGGAAATATTGTTCTCATTTCATAGTTTGTACAATAATTTTGTCCATTTTGATAAACTGTTGGTTTATTGGCAAAAAGTTTAAAACCAAATTTTCTGGTATTTTAAGATGGAAAGGTCGACTCTGCCAATCATGCAATAATTCGCATGCCTTCCTGTTGGAACTGAATAATCATTTTATTCTCATGAAGTTAGAAAAAGGAACGCATAGCATTTTTTATTTTTTACTGATCGTGAAATGACGCTTGTAAAAACACCAAAACCTTAAACTTAGCATGCATATGACATGCATTGCACGTTTAAAGTAGCCGAGAAAAATGTTTGTCCTCATGATTTAGATAAAGGATGACAAAACGGAAGAGCACATATAATGTATTAAAGCTGAAGTACACAAGAATTATATACATGTTGATGTCTTTTAACAAAAAACGACCAACCAACATGCATCTTTTCTATAAAGATATGCAAACTAACAAATTAAACAACCCTTACCTTAAATGAACGAAGCTTTTAATATTTTAAGATGTAATGGTATAAACAAACTATTAACATTTCATTTTTGTCATTTTTAAAATAACATATTATCTGTAAATATTTATACTAAATATTGTAATACTCATAACACATTTTAACACTGATTGCACGACTATTAATGATACACTTCTCTTGTTTTTGATGTTACAGGGGTTCCGGATTCCAAAACATTCGATGTAACGTTGATGATATGTTTAATCAGACACTTGACATCTATTATTGCTCCGATCAATGGATTTGACAGTCTACCACTACCAGGAGAGAGCACACCTGGGTCTGATCTAGCCAGGATAAAATATTACAGGAATAAACTAGCTCATCATGATAGTAATAGAATAGACTCTGTTTATTTCAATACAGCATGGAGAGATATATCAGATGTAAGTATGTCTCATGTCTTTTTACCGATACTTGGATTTTTAATTCACATTGTCAGTGTAAAACTCAGGTTCCTTGAAATGAGAGTGAAGTTAGCAATTACATTTTCTTACCTAGTTGGCTAGTCCGGGATCTCTCTGACATCTGAAGCACTTTAGGACGGACGACGGCGTACCACGACGGCAGACACAAAGTGATGGCAAAATTTACACTTATCAAAACTGACAGGGTAAAATAATCTTTCGACTGTAAATTTTCAGAGAAGTCAGACAATCTATTTTGCAGTCAATAATCTTCAGATTTCACAGCTTTAAGCTTACATCTCAAAAACTAACAACCTTAGAACAAATTTGACATGCTTAAACTCGATCAGCAGGTAAAGGTCTATCTACGTTTAGAAGTTGCTGCCTCTCAAATGGTAACTGTTTGAAAATTTTTAAGATTTTGGTTTTTATCTTTAAAACTATATTAGAAAGAAATTGTAAACCGTAAAAATGACTAGAATGATAAAATCAACAAATGAGTCAGCAAGGATGATCAAGGATGTAGGGGTCTTATGATTTTCATTTTGTCCGTCTGTTTGTCTATCTGTCAGTCCGTTTGTCCATCCACAATTGTTTTAAAGCAACAACTTTAAAGGTTTAAGTAGGATATGTAGGAGTAATATAGAAAAGTTATTGTACATTATATGTTGAGTGCGTGTTATATCCTTTTGAAATTCATCTTTTATCGTTTTTGGTAAAAAAAACTAATTATTTTGTTAAAAAATCACAGAATTCAGAAACATCTTTTGTAGGCGCAAAAATTGATATACAATAAAAGCATAATGCATTCCAAAACAAGTAAAATAACAAAAATACCGAATTCCGATGAAAATTCTAAACGGAAAGTCCCTAAGCAAATAACAAAATCAAAAGCTCAAACACATCTAACAAACGAATAATAATTGTCATATTCCTGACTTGGTACAGGCATTTTCTTATATAGAAAGTTTTTGACTAAATCGGGTTTTATAGCTAGCTAAACCTCTCACTTGTATGACTGTCACATAAAATTCCATTATATAGACAACGATGTGTGAACAAAACAAACAGACATAATAGGTAAAAATGTCAAAATTAGGGGTACAGCAGTCAACATTGTGTTATAATCTTAATCGCTATAAAAACAAGCAAATATGTCAACAAAGATAAACAAAAAGGCAAATTGACAAAGCACATTAGCAAAAACGAAAGACAAGAATACAAAAATTACCCATAGATCAATAACACAATGACGGGATGTATAAGTACCGAGCCACGTCAAATGGATATTGCCAAACATAGACTAAACAGTAAAAGTAATAATTTACAAAGACAAATAAAAGAATACTATAACAAGTTATTAAGATGATAAATAACCTCATTACCTAGTTGATAAACGATAAAAGCTTGGTTTTTATTTTGTATTATAAATTCTGAGAATCATATTTCTTGCTAGGATCAAAATGAAAACACTACTGTTTGTTATTACATACGGAAGCGTATTTGGGCCATCCTTTTTTGTTCAAACTGTCGACTTTAATCTCAGTATTATCAACTTTATTCTAAGCATTTCCAGTTTTATCCTGGAATTATCAACACGACTCTTGGAATTATCAACATTAATCTTGGTAATATCAAAAACAATCTTGGAAATTCCTACTTTAAATCGCGGGCCACTATTTTTGCGACATCAAAGTATGCCTGAATCGACCTTGTGAAACTATCTGTTGCAATTTGTAAATACAGCTGTTTCTCAAAGAACGCCTCTTTTGGGGAGATATATTATATTCATAGATATGTAGTTTTGTTTACGTACTTGTTCCTAGACATGTTCTCTATGTTTCAGCTCATAGAGACATAACTTTGGAATGTCACCAGTATAAAAACATATGGTTGCGGTAAAAATTAAATTTTGTAGTAGACCAAAAGTGAAGGTAGGGGTGGTACAGAATTTTAGTACAAGTATAAACTCTAACAAGTTCGGAGCATATAAATGTTGAACAGTATGCCGTACAGCCCTATGTTTTCACCTTTCAACAAAATAGTAGTGCATATCAACGTTCCATTCTAGGATATTATTTTTTACCAAACTTCATAGTAAAAGTGGCAAAGGGAGTTCCTATTGGAAATTGCATTGTCTATATTTACAGAAATGCAACCTATAGAACCGAACAAAAGTCTTGAAAAATAACTATTTAAGGTCTTTAATGCGCTAAAGTTATGGTTTCAGGTTTTTTTTTGGAATGTAAATTTTTAGTAACATGCTGTATAATAACAGTTGAACGTCAAACACCTTAATCTGACAGATAAAGATCAATCTGTCGACAAAAAAAGTACCCGTATGTAAAATGTTCGCGCCCATAAATAGCGCCTCCTACATTGTTTACTTCGTCGTCTTTGATAACGATGTAATTTTAAAATATATATATATTTATATACCTTTATGCAAATTTTACGAAAATGGTAATATTCTAATTATGTCATAAAAAAGAAATTTTTGGTAAAAGTTAGCAAAATTGCCACGACAACATTTAGGTATAGGAAACGTAGTGCACAGAATTTGACAAGCTTAATACTGTAAATTCAAAAATATCGTGAGATTTTTATCAATGTAAATAATGCGACTTAGTCATAATCACAATAATAATAACTCGCATTCTGATTTGATACTATGAAATTTTTTTCTCTGAAATCGGAATAATGAATCTCTCATTTTTGTCCATTCTTCAAAAATTTCTGAATTTAAATTTCAAAAACCTGTAATGAGGCCTAAATATTTGCCAATATTCTATTTTTCTTGGCCACACACTACTAAATTACAGTTTTTATCAGTCAGGAGCCTTACCTAAATAGATAACCTTAGCTATATTTGGCACAACACTTTGGAATTTTGGGTCATCAAAGCTCTTCAACTTTCTACTTGTTTGGCTTTCTAACAATTTTGATCTGAGCGTCACTGATGAGTCTTATGTAGACGAAACGCGCGTCTGGCGTATTAAATTATAAGCCTGGTACCTGTGATAACTAATTAAACAAGTTATTTTTTAAAGTTACTTTTATGGGTGATTTTTGTTTTTTAAAATAATAAAAATACTCAATAGAGTTATTTCAAATTTCAATAAAAGCACGGACTAGATGCAGTGTTCATGACTTTTACATCATTTTATTACATAAAATAATGGATTTATTAAATTTCAGAGGAGTATAGAGATAAAAGGTTATTTTAAAAATAATGACAAAAATATTACTTGAATAAGTTATTTTATACATCTTTGAAAGATTTAGTCATACAAATTATTTAAGGAACATAGGGAATTGTTTTGGGTTACAAATTATAAATAGCTTCAAGTCTTAATTAAATCACAAGTGTCTATCTATTTATATCTGTCTACCTTCAAGATTTTCAAGGAAAATGATATTTTAACAGTCCCGAGAGACCAATTTTTGACCCTAAAGCGTCGGTATGAACGATAAGTGCGTCAGAAAGGCAATTAGTGTTTCGGGAGGATTAGTTTTTATATTTCATGTGAAAAATAACCAGATGACTGTAAAAATTTGTATGAAAGGACACCTATAAAAAAAATATTTAGAAAAATTACTTATATAAGTAATATTTAAAATAGCCTCGTTTTCAACATTACTTGTATAGGTAATTTTAAAAATTACTTGTTTAAGTAATGCCCCTGACTGTTAAAATTACATATAAAGAAATTGTGTAATTACATAAAATCGGCATGGCCAATCTGATCACATATTGTTATTTAAAGTTATTTGTTTACTTATTATGCCTTTTAATGTATTGGTATCTGCTATTTATCATTTGTTATGTTGTAAATATGTTTTAGTTGTTATAGCATATATAATGCTTTCTGCAATACAGTATTCAATGACAAAAATAATGTGAACTGCATTATATCATATTGCATTTCAACTTTTTGTTCAGTTTTCCTGTTCGTTGATTAGAATGTTTTTAATCCCCTTCTGGTTTTTTTTTGGGATGTTCAGATTTTTAATACCCCCCTTTTTTTCCTGGATCAGCTGAAAGGTTCTTGCTTTCCTCTGGTTTTGCTATTTATACATCAGGAAAAAAAGGCTACCAATAACGACCACTGATGGCACATAGCAATGATCCATCTCTTTGCAAATTATATAAACACAAAAATAGTTTGGTAACATACTTCATCATACTTGTTTTGTTTTAAAATATCAAGAGAATTATGCCTATACAAAATCTCTGTCAATAAGTAATTTTTCCACTCTTAACAGTAAAATCTTAAATGTGTATATTGATTGGCAAGCCTCGCATCTTGAAAAATAAAATGTCTCGAGGAGAGAAGAACTACTGTTTCACAATTGAAGCTGTGTTAGAATGTATAATATCACTCTTTGTTTTCCATATGATCAGCATACAAAGTGACAAAGAATCTATATGATATTCAGTCTAAAAAACTTTGTTAAATCTCATGACTGATGCAGAGTTTTCAGTGGACCAGAGTAAAAACTTTCTATTTTAGATACTTTTTTAATGTAGATTAATTTAATTAAAGTCTAAGTTATATAGTAAAATGAAATTAATATTAAAAAAACTGTTCAAAGAAGCTTCGTGTACAAACACTGAGTTTATTTTCATATGATTTCTAAGAATATTGCTACAAAGAAAGTGAAACACAGACTTTTATCATTCCATCGATGAAAATGGTGTTTAAGAATACAAAGCAATTTATAAGTTCCAAGTTTCAGAGGAAAGTAAGTTAGCTATAATGTTCTTTTTGGAAAGTTTTCCAAAACCTGTAATTACTTGAAAAAATGCCATATTCAACCATTCCGTGACTATTTGTATGTCACAAAAGTGAATGATCATGACATATGGAATAGTTATTTAAGAAATTGTCGAAATATAACTACAATCAATACTTTTACTCCAATTTACTGTTGTGTATTTGCAATTTCCCACGATGCGTGTATGGAGTTCTCTCCCCTTGATCTCACTCCGCCACGAATAAGCTGACACAATTGCGTGTCCAGTAAATTTGGGGACGATTATAACTAAAATCCTATCTAAAAAATAGTAATTCATATTTTATACCCCTCCATATGTTACCATACCTATTCAAGGAATAAATAGGAATTTTTCGTGGACATTTTCAGAAATAAATTGTCACTACACACGTCAATTAAGAATACTTTAACAACACTTTTTAGTAATAAATATAAAGAATAATGAAGCTTATATACTCAATTTTAGAACACTTTGAGTTTATTAATGTACAGGTAAAATTAAAACGATACGAGTAAAAAAAACCACGAGGCATGCACGTTTACCACAAAAAAAAAAAAAAAAAAAAAAAAAACTCTGACCTTTTGTGACGTGACTAATTACTTGGACATAGTAGTCATCAAATCGTTTGCCGTCCAACTGTAAATGATGCATTTATACCAAGTTACAAAAGTTGCAAAAAAAAAATATATGGTCTTGACACAAATTTACTATCATATAGGGGTCAAATATCATAGTCTAGGTCACAGTGACCTTGTTTTGGTAAGTGAAACAGTCTTCCATGATTCAAATAAAGGCAACAGTAGAATACCGCTGTTCAATAGTCATTAATCGATTAATCGAAAAACAAATTCTGGTCATGAACCTAAACCGAGGGAAACACATCAACTATATGAGGAAAACAACGGAACAACAGAAACACTGAACTACTACTACTACTACAAAAAAACGTCAAAATACATAGAAACGAATTATTTGATAGCAACTGCCATATTCCTAACTTGGTAACGGACATTTTGAGAAAAAAAATGGTGGGTTGAACCTGGTTTTATGGCTAGCTAAACCTCAACAATTATGCTCTCGGCAAGATATCTATATCATAGGAGCCAATGGTAAAATCAAGGTCGCAGTGCATTGATTATGGTCTGTAATACTTAAATTTCTTGTGAGGCATCCATAAACCATCTTTGATCAATTTAAGTTCTATGCTACACATGTTCACTATCACGGGGTCAAAAGTCAAAGTAAATGTCGCAATAGTCATAATGATTGTATATGGCAAACTTAATGTCCTTTCTGCATCCACATACTAAGTTTGATCAGCCAAAGGTCATCCGTACAAAAGTTACAAAAGACACTGGACAGAATTCAGACAAGGTGTTATCAAGATAGGGGTTAGAGGTCAAGGTCAAGTCACAGTGATCTGATTTTAGTTTGTAACACACATTCACCCCATGGTGCATCTGATTTTATACATTCCGGTCCTTTTTAGAATCTGATTAAACACGCACAAACTTTTTCGTAGTAAAACAAGTAATTATGTATACAGTAAACTGATGACGCTTGCAATATCATTTTTCTACAGTGTACCATAAAATTGGGGTCAGAATCCTAATTTGACATATAATTAAGAAAGATCACGACTAAATGCAGGTGTGTACTAAGTTTCGAGTTGATGTAACTTCAACTTCCTCGTATACGACCTTCACAATCCCTGACTGCAGCTGTAGCATTATCCCCTATCGTTACGTATTTGTATGGTCAGCATAGATTGGTCGCGTCATTACGTATCAGCACCTAGTATAAGTGAAACAAAATAGTTACCGTTATAGGGTTTCTTATGTATGTGTATTTTCAATGGGACATATCCACGAAATAAGTCTTACTGCAGGGGTAAATGACCGATATTCACCTCTAGTCCATAGTTTATTGTGTTTCTTTGTATACTTATTCTACTTATAATCATTTTCGCGGCTAAAACATTTGTAAAGCGTCAAAGAAAAATAGACGTGTATCTTAAGTCTTGTATAGCTTCACGTAGCCTTATATCGACGTTTTACATAGGGGTAACTTCCTATAAATGGATACGTGGTATAAAGTAAAACATTAAGGTTGATAATTCAAACATTAAAGTTGGAATTTCCAAGTTTAAGGTTGAAAATTCTAAGATTAAAGTTGGAATTTTCAAATTAAATGTTGATAATTCCAAGATTAAAGTTGATAACTCTAAGATAAAATTGGAATTTCCAAGTTAAATATTGAGAATTCCAAAATCAAAATTATAAATCCAAGATTAAAATGGGAAATTAATGTTGATAATTCCATGATTAAAGTAGACAATTTGAAAAAGATAAATAAATAAGTATTATTTTAAAACAGTATTACGCTTCCGTAATTATTTGCAATGCAGCAACATAAACAAAGGTCAAAAATACACTTTATAATGTAATTCAGTTTTTGTTGTTCGACTTCATATTGTACACACAATGTTCATGCTGTTATTTCTCATTTTCATAGCGGTTTTCAAACTTAGCAATCTTGATTGACATGCAAGCCTCAACTCACTTATAGTCTGTAGGTCAGTTTGGAGGTCATATTGTACACACAATTTTATTTCTCATGTATACAGCGGTTGCCTGGCAATCTTGATTGACAGATCAAGCCGCATTTAAATGTATTAGAATTGGTTATCATGGTTATTATTCGAAAACATGATAGAAAAAACCCTGTTTAAATAATTAAGGATATTATATACATTAAATTATTCAAACAGTGTATTCATTTCCAGGCTGTGGGTCGATTAGGAGGTCAAACATTGTATCAAGAGTGTCAAGAGTTAAAGGTGAAAATCTTAGATCAGTCGAATCACGAAATTATGTTGGAAATCAAAACAGCTCTCGAAGAGATAAAAGAATTGAAACAAACAACTGACAATTTGGAGACGGAACTCTCAAAAGTTAAAGAATGTTTAAAAGACACAATACCACCGAACATAAAAGGTATATTATACTTATTGATACAGGAACAAGTCGAAAATTTATTGAGGGTAATCATTTTTTATTTTTTTCAATTTTGTATGTATTTGTCAATGCTTAAATCCTTTCTTCATCTGTTTATCATATGTCAAAACAGATGTATGTCTAAAACATTCCCTGCTAATATGGAGTATGTGGAGGTGAGTTGATTTAAATGTTTATCACTTTCTGTCTATCGATGTTGCTTTTTACATTCATTATAACAAAACGTTTGCCTGAAATTGCATGGTCACCTGAAGTGGCAACGGTATAAGTGATCTTAATACAGTCCAGGTAAAAAGCTGGACAATTCTGAGGTATACCTTGTATGAGATGTTTTATGGTCTCATATTTTTGTCCTATTTTTGACATTTTTACCTATTATGTCTCTTTGTTGTCAATATAATGGAATTTTATGCGACTGTCATACAAGTGAGAGGTTTATCTAGCTATAAAACCAAGTTTAATCGACCATTTTCTACATAAGAAAATGTCTGTACCAAGTCAGGAATATGTCAGTTGTTATTCATTCGTTTGATGTGTTTGAACATTTGATTTTGCATTTTGATTAGGGACTTTCCGTTTTGAATTTTCCTCGGAGTGCGACATTTTAGTTATTTCACTTTATACTGTTCGTTCTTCTTGATCTAATGATTGTGGTTCAGTGACCTCAAAATAGACTTTAGTTTTCATTGTATTGTTGCAAAACATGAAGAATACTATCGTTTCACCCTTTTCCGTCTGTTCGTACGTCTGTCTGTCCGTATTTCTTAAAATGCGTTCGCCTCAACCAAATGTTATGAAACTTATAAGCAATGCTTATTACCACCAAGCATAGATCAAGTTTGAGTTTTGGTTATGTCACTTTCACCGTTCTCGTTAAATTAAAAAGAATCAAATGCCAAAAAATGATCTTTTAATAAGTAAGCATGCTTGAAATGTCTATTGACAACTTAGACAGGTGCCACATGTTGAGCAGGATTACAGTTCTGGAGCACATGAGATCACCACCGGTTTGGTTATGGTTTCTGTTGCTCGTTCTGTAGTTTTCTATTATATTTTTAGTGTACTGTTGTTGTTTTTTTTTTATCCTTTTCTTTTTGTTTTTTTTTGGCATGGCGTTGTCAGTTTGTTGATTGATTGATTGATTGGTGTTTAACACCACTTTCAACACAATTGTGCTATTTCGTGGCGGTAAGTTGTCATTGGTGGAGGATGCCTGAATTCCAGATTGAAACACTGACCTTCGGTAGGAAAACTACAGACAATGATGATAATTTCCAATTTTGTGTATTTTTAAGAAACTATAAAAGATAGAGAGGAACAGTTCAAAGCAAAAGTTTTCCGTACAATAAAATCAAGACTAGGAACATTTTCCCTAAATGAGTTTTTTTTTATTTTATTTTTTTTTTTATTTTGTCAAAACTTTAGTTGAAAGAAACAAACTTTAAAAAACCCATACATTTTCATCAAGATAAGATATACTAGACTTTAAATTGTTGCCCTTAGATTTAAACAATGTTTTAAGTTGATTTCATGTTTGCCTGTTATTTCGAATAATAATATAGATAGGTTAAAACTGTAAAGAGTAAACAAATATTCTAAATATAAGATCTACAAAACTTACCTATAATATGATATACTAGCTGTATACAGTCAACCCTGCTTTAAAGGCACCTCTTTATAGGTCAAGTCTTTTAATCGAAAACCTGTCTTGTCATCTTCTTCTTGTCCCACTGTAGAAGTAACTATTATGGGCCTTTATTCAGATGTCACCTCTCTTAGAAGATCGCTTTTCTTTGGTTCCAAGAGTCTTCTATATATATATTTGACTGTACAAGTGATTACACATCACTGTACTAAAAGTAAAATGAATACCATACCACATCTGACAATTTTTTTTACGATATTGTGAGCCTCTTGTTTCTCTTGAATTATAGTATATGGTACAATACATTATGATTGTTTGAAATGTATTGTCATGACCTTTATGTTACCTTGACCTAAGGGGTCAAAAAGTTGATTCTTGAGTACATGTCCTTCTCTGTTTTAATTTTTGTTTATATCTTATATACTAGTTCTCCATCTCAAGATATAACAAGAAAGATAGCTTATGACCTTGACCTTTTCAACTCAATGTTAAACAATTAATTTAAGAAACTTCAGAACCATATATTTTCATGTAAATTAATTTTACAATTACCTATTTCATAGAACTGTTTGATGGTTAATCTATTAAATTATTGTCATACACATGATATATTTTGATGATTAAGACTTTATGAAAACAAGCAAAGTGGTACGGTGACTAATGAGACTACCCACTAAAGGACCATTACATAGATAATTAAAGATCACCATCTAGCCTTCAAAAATATACAGTAAAGTAACATGAGTAAGGTATATAAGTACTGAAATGACAAAATGTGGCACATTTAATCCACTTGTTCATGTCTGTTCTAGATAATAATGTATCATTTATATCAATAGTCAATTTAATAAATTTTAATTAGTTAAACATCACTGTTTTTTAGATCAGTTTAAAAAACAAATAGAAGACTGGGAAACAAAAGATAAAATGTTTGTGCCTACGAGAGCCAGTGATTATATCGTTGAATGTTTACAGGACAACAGTTGTGTGACTTTAACTGCTCCATCAGGAGTTGGGAAATCATTTTACAGTAGACACACAGCACTAGTTCTACAGAAAGAAGGATTCAAAATAATACCGGTGTACTCTCCAACAGACATTAGAGATTATTATCAGTCAGGCAAGAAGACAGTCTTCATTGTAGATGATATTTGTGGAAATTTCACTGCCAACCAACAACAGATTGAGAACTGGAAACAACTGTTACCTGTGATTAACACAATTATTGCAGACAAATGTTGTAAGATTATTGTATCATGGAGGTTACAAGTTTATAAAGATGAAAAGTTTAATTTATTATCACCTTTTAAATCCTGTGAATGTAATTTAGTATCAGATAAGTTATGTCTTACGTCTTCGGAGAAAACAAATATAGCAAAAAAATATATTGGTACAAGCATGAATGATATTGATGACGTATCTTATAACAGAGATTTTTTCCCACTCTTATGTTCTTTATATCATGACAAAAAACATTTAGGCGTCAAAGAATTTTTCAAAAATCCATTCGATGTATATCAAAGTGAGCTAGACAAGTTAAGTGAGCATGGTGATGAAGGAAACTATAAGATATGTAGTCTTGCTTTATGTGTTCTCTTTAATAATCAGCTAGAAGAAAAGTGGTTCCAAGGTAAAGTGACAGACGGACAGCGACAAATTATAGAAGACACATGCAATGCTTGTGAAATCAACAGATATACATCAAAGGCAAAACTACAGAAAGCACTTGATACTCTAGATGGTACATTTGTTTGTAAACAGAATGGTATTTATAGTACTGTACATGATAAGTTGTTTGACTTCCTTGCTCATTACTTTGGTCAGAAAATGATTGAATGTTTATTAGACCATGCTGATATTCATTTAGTGCATGGACGTTTTATTTCGCAGACATCACAAGATGACATGAAGAATAACATAGACTTCGTTATTGAAATACCACATGATCATTTAGAATCATATTTGATACGATTTATAAAGGACTGGTTAGCAGGAAATGTGTCTGTTGTATTCAGTAACAATAATTTGAAAGTACCATCATTCAGAGAACATTTATTACAGTTCTTGAATCAACTAGACATACTCCAGCAAGTAACATTGGCTAATACAAAGGATACAGTGATACCAAAGGCGAACCCTGCATCAGGTAATACACCACTGATAGCGACTTGTTATTATGGTCATACAAATTTAGTACAGTGGATATTAAATTATGCTGTGGATGTGAATCAGTGTAGAGATAATGGGACTACTGGATTGGTGATGGCAAGTCAGGAAGGACATACTCATATAGTAAAGTTACTGTTAGAGAAAGATCCTAATGTTGATGTATGTGACAAGGATGAATTGAGTCCTCTGAGACAGGCAATTCAGGAAAGACATATTGATATAGTAAAGTTACTGATAGAGAGCAATTCTAATGTTGATCTATGTGACAATACTGGGTGTAGTCCTCTGCTTTTGGCCAGTCATGAAGGACATACTGAAATAGTAAAGTTACTGTTAGAGAAGAATCCTAATGTTAATTTATGTGACAAGAACGGCTGTAGTCCTTTGTACATGGCAAGCAAGAACAGACACACTGATATAGTAAAGTTACTGTTAGAGAAGGATCCTAATTTGAATCAAAGTGACATTGAGGACTGTAGTCCTCTAAACTTGGCAAGTGAGAAAGGATATACTGATATAGTAAAGTTACTGTTAGAGAGAAGTCGCAAGGTTGATCTATGTAACAATCGTTGCTGTAGTCCTCTATACATGGCAAGTCAAAATGGACATACTGATATAGTAAAGTTACTGTTAGGGAAGGATTCTAATGTTAATTTATGTCAAAATAATGGCAGTAGTCCTCTGTACATTGCAAGTCAACAAGGACATACTCAAATAGTAAAGTTACTCTTAGAGAAGGACCCTAATGTTGATTTATATGATAATGAGGGCAGTACTGCTCTGAACAGGGCAAGTCGTAAAGGATATACTGATATAGTAAGGTTCCTGATAGAGAGCAATTCTAATGTTGATCTATGTGACAATTTTGGCTGTAGTCCTCTGTTCTTGGCCAGTCATGACGGACATACTGAAATAGTAAAGTTACTGTTAGAGAAGGATCCAAATGTTAATCTTTCTCACAACAATGGCTGTAGTCCACTGTACATGGCAAGTCGGAATGGACATACTGAAATAGTTAAGTTACTGTTACAGAAAGATCCTGATGTTGATCTTTGTGACAAGGATGGATGTAGTCCTCTGTACTTTGCAAGTCGGAATGGACAGGCTGATATAGTTAAGTTACTGTTAGAGAAGGATCCTAATGTTGATCTATGTAACAAAAATTGCTGTAGTCCTCTGTACATGGCAAGTTATAAAGGACATACTGAAATAGTAAAGTTACTGTTACAGAAAGATCCTAATGTTGATCTATGTGACAAGGATGACTGTAGTCCTCTGTACTTTGCAAGTAAAAATGGACATACTGATATAGTAAAATTACTGTTAGACAAGGATCCTAATATACATATATGTGACAATAATTGCTGTAGTCCTCTGTTGATGGCAAGTCAGAATGGACATACTAATATAGTGAAGTTACTGTTAGCTAAGGATCATAATGTTGATCTATGTAACACTTTTTGCTGTAGTCCTCTGTACATGGCAAGTTATAAAGGAAATACTGAAATAGTAAAGTTACTGTTACAGAGAGATCCTAATGTTGATCTTTGTGACAAGGACGGCTGTAGTCCTCTGTATTTTGCAAGTAAAAATGGACATACTGATATAGTAAAACTACTGTTAGAGAAGGATCCTAATATACATCTATGTGACAATAATTGCTGTAGTCCTCTGTTGATGGCAAGTCAGAATGGACATTATGATACAGTAAAGTTACTGTTAGAGAATAATCCTAATGTTGATCTATGTGACAATAATAGCTGCAGTCCACTGAGACAGGCAATTCAGAATGGACATACTGATATAGTAAAGCTATTGTTAGAGAAGGATTCGAATGTTGATATATGTGACAAGTATGGCTATACACCACTGATGAAGTCATGTACTGGTAACCACACCAGTATAGTTCAGCTATTAATGAAACACAAACCAGACATTAATGCCCAATCATTTGATGGTGGTAATGCTTTATATTTTAGTGCCCTGCATGGAAACATAAAAATTACACAGTTACTATTAGAGAACAATGCTGACTGTAATATGCGTATCAATAGTAAACAGTCATCAACATATACAATTACTAACAATACAGAGTACACGTTAGATAAAGCAAAGCAAGAGTTGTTTGATAGCCTGGTAAAGAATACATCATCACATGTAACAGCCTATATCAGAAAGAATTCAGTAGAGTATGCTTACGATATAGTATCTGGTTCTTCTCCATTACACATTGCATGCTTTATCGGTAGAACAGATGTAGTCCATAATCTCCTGGACCACAACGCTAACATTAACATAACAAAAGAAGATGGCACCACACCATTATTTTATGCATGTGAAGTAGGACATCAGGATATTGTACGTTTATTGTTAGATAAAGGAGCAGACACACAGATATGTAGAATAGATACGAAATCCCCTTTAGACATTGCAAAAGATAATGAACATACATCTATAGTAGTGATTGTAACAGAACACATGAAGAAGGAGAAACAATTACCTCTTTAAGTCTTGTTCTTTTGTAAGTGGTTTGTTGCTTAATAACTAAAATGTATGCTCCATGGTCTTAAGTTTACACCGGTGCGTTCTATTTTGTTTTAAATAAGTTATTCTTTCCTGTATGTTCTTTTTTGACCGGGCCCGATTAGGTAGCTTAACATCTTACAAGGTCTTTGTTTGAACTATGATAATTGATTTATTGGTCTAAAGCTGTTAAAATTACCTTATTGCTACAGCTTTCACCAATAATGTACCCTGGTATAAAAATACATGTATCTTTAAGAACCAGGTGTCTGTAAGATATTATTATTTTCAGTCAATTAAATTGTGCCCTGTTTCTACCAAACCAGCGCAAATTTTAACAATTTGATTTATTTTCCAGCGCGGATGACGCCACATTGTACCAAGTTCTTTATAATATTTAAGTTTGCGAATAGCATGTTCGACATTTACTTGTCATTATTGGATAACGGTTTTTATCCCCTTATATAAACAAGATTCTCTATGAAATCAAGTTGAAGTACGTGTCGTCTTTCTGGCATCGAGTTGAATTGTTGTACTTCATTTTGTTGGCTCAGGAAACCGCTGCGTAAAAGCCGTATGTGGTTTTGGTTGTCAATCAAAATCTGGGTGCGAATACAGTGCATATGTCTATATACAGAATAAAACTTTTCCTGTGGCTCATTTTGTTTGCGATAAATTGCATGATATGTACCGTCTACAGTCGGCACTGCGTTTGGCAGTCCTGGCCATCAGCCTTGCAAGGACAACCACTCGTTATGCGAACCCCAATCCAATTTAAAAATATCTCCCACAACAACGGTACTATACCATAAATTGTATGTAACATAATAAATGAAGAAACATCAAACACCAAATAAAATAAAATCGAATAACACGAATACAATTATGTTCTTAGCCACAAGATTACCATCACAAGGCGATTTCTGGGAGACCAGTTGCATATGACCGCATAAGCCAGCAAGTGCCAAAGATTTTAAAGGCTTTTGGTATTGACTCAGAGTCTGATTTTGATTCGAATTAAAATAAACAGATTATCCTAGTATATGACTCATTTATTTTTGTTAATATATTGCTATGCCATAAAAAAAAAAGCTATAATTTTAATACAGATGTTGTAATTCATGACATTTAGTTTGAGTCCGTTTCTCTGAACTGCAAAACATTATCGTCGAGTGAGGTAGCGTTGGTGGATGTAGGGGTGTGTTCCGGGGGTTGTAACTCCCCTTTGTCTTCCGATTTTATTTGATTTTTAATTATGTGATCGTATCATGGTGTTCCGGGTTTTGGAACTGCCTCCCCCTCCTTTTCAAATTGGATGGATCCGCGCCTGTGTAGCAGTGTTAAAACGTTATTATTGTACGGAGTAAATCAATAATTAATTATACTCTTTTGAGATGGTCCCTAATTTGAATGTCTCAACTATAGACTCTCGACTCTCAATTGTCAACAATAGTTATTTATCTAACATGTCTATTACAAATACAAATATATTATAATATAAACATATATAATTGCAAATAATTTAAATTGTATTTACAAAGTCTATCCAAATTATTTTTGCAAAGAATTCCGTTCAAGTCGGTACTAGGGGCCGTCTTAAACTTGCAATTAGGTGAGAGTTTTTTTTCCACTTCGTGTTGAAGACCTCACTGTGACTTTGCAATAAAAGCGCTGTTCCTTTGCTTTTTATGTGTTTTATTTTTGTTGTGCATGTACTGATTTTGTGTCATGGATATATACCCCATATCCTTTTGTTTTTCTATTATAATGTTATGATTATTGAATTGTAAATATGTATTCATCATTGGTTTTTTGTAAATGGTTTAATCGATGTTGTAATAATTATCTTTTATATAGTAAGTGTTTAAGATTTATAGAATAGGAGAACTATTTATATTGATATGTTTAAAGCTTTACTGAACATATTTTACTGATATATACGTGTGTACCTATTTTAAATTAAACCTCTGTGTCCATGTATAGGCCTTTACAAAATTATCATATGCATTTGTATTAGCTTAATTCTTTGCTGAATGATCAGTTAATTTGTTTGTTATTCTTTTTAAGATGGCAGCATTAACCCTTTTGAAAATATGATACTATACAATTATGATTTCCTATTGTCCCTGTCAGAAGGGACGAAATATCAAAATTGGGGGTTTATAGCAAACTACATATTGTTGACATGACAGCCTTTGTAATTTTGGAGTATTACCCACGTAGAACAAATTTTCAAAAAGACATGTTTTAATAACTGAGAGCAATTCCTCTTAAGGCAGTTATTTTTCATTGTGACAGCTACGACGGTTTTTGAAAATCCTCTCTGAAGGGAATTATTTTTCTTTGTGATAACTACGACAATTTTTAAGAATCCCTCTGTAGGAAATGAGTTTTCATTGTGACGGCTGACCCTGATTTTGGAAATCCCCCGTTAGGAAATTAATTTTAAACATCACGGCCTTTATACAAAAACAATGTTCAGAGTTCATGTGATCATTTCAAACTCTGAAGTTAATTGTTTAATTACAGTTTTCACCATTTGCAAAACTCATCAGATGCTGTCATTTTTGGTTGATTTATTAGTTTGCTAAAAAGGACCATTTGAGATAGTATCATCTTCGGTTGACCAATTAATTTGTTAAGAGGGCAGATTCAGATAGTGTCATCTTTGGTTACTTTATCATTTTTAAAACGGACAATTTCAGATAGTGTAATCTGTGTTGGTATATGTTTACAAATAGGTAATCAACCAAATATGACACCGTCTAAATCAAGATTCATTATTCAATTGTTAAAAGGACCATTTCAGAAAGTGTCAGCTTTTTTGATTAATTAATTTGTTTAAGTGACAATTTCAGATAGTGTCATCTTTGGTTGATTTAATAATTTGTTAAAAGGATCTTGGCAGATAGTGTCCTGTTGGTTGATTCATTAAATTGTTAAAAAAAATAGTGTCATCTTTGGATAAGGTGTATTTGCACAATATGTTTTGAAAATGCCTGGCAACTTGGGAGGTAGCTTTCATCATTTGTCTGATCTAACGATGTACCAGCCTTTGCAGTTAATTAACACGATAGTAAGTGCATCAAAACTTAACTCGGCTTTTAACATGATCTATAGAATTTCAATTTCCAGACAAAATATTGAGCAATGATGATTCACATTTTTATAAAACTTATTTTGATAATGACCAGTAGAAGAGAGAAAACCGGTGACACATGTGGAGCAGGATCTGCTTACCCTTCCGGAGCTCCTGAGATCACCGACAGGTTTTTGTGGGGTTCGTGTTTCTTGAGTTTTCAATGTTGTGTTTTGTGTACTATTGTTTGTCTGTTGGTCTTTTTCTTTTTTAGCCATGGCGTTGTCAGTTTATTTTCGACTTATGAGTTTAAATGTCCCTCTAGTATCTTTCGCCTCTCTCTCTTAAAGTTTTTGAAGTCTTGACGTCAAAGGTTTAAACTAATACATATCATGATTTCCTTGATAGAAGTTTGCTGCTAGCACGGAAACAAGGAAGAGTTCCAAGTGGTGGAGTTGAAATCACACATTCGATCATTTTCCAGATGCCATTGCAAGTTGGTTAACAAAATATAGAATATCTGTTTCACGGAAGCCGACGGATTTGTTCAAATCAACGTAACCACAATTCCATTCTCGTTCCCTTAGTGAGACTTACATAATTAGACTAATCATCAATTGTGTACAAATATGAGCAACACAATGGGTGCCACATTTTAAGCAGGATCTGTCTATCTTTCCGGAGCACCTGAGATAATTCCCGGTTTTTGGGGCGGATCATTTTGCTCAGTCTTTTGTTTCGACGTTGGTTTTGCGTACTGTTGTTTGTGTTTTGGTAGGGTTTATTCGCCATTGCATTCTCAGCCTGTTTTCGACTGATGAGTTTGAATGACTCATTTGGTTTTTTTACCATAATTTTACTGAAAGTGGTCGTATAAAGCTACATGACATGAAGAAGACTGATGTATGTTTAAATCATAAAGATAAAGTAAACGGCCAATGTTACAGCAGCAATTATGTCTTTTTTTCAGTCTAGATATCTTTTGAACCATACACGTCAATCCATTTTAGAAATGTTTCTTAATAATGGTCCTCCTTAATTAATTGACAGTTTAGTTCTGGATGTCAAAGGTCAGTATCACAGTACATATACATATTTTTATTGAAGAAAGTTTATTTCCAAATAATATCTCTTGTGTTACATAAGTAATAAGTAAAATATTTGATAATCATTGAATAAATAACTCACATTGTTGTGAAAAAATGTCTGTATTGATTCTGAGGTCACTTAGCCAAAAGTCAAGCTCAAAGCAACAACTGATCAACTGAAATTGGGACATTTTTACTTCAGAATAATATGTTTTGAATTATTCGCCAAACCCCTAATTAGAAATAAATCAAAAATACTAATTGAAAAGAATAAAACCAATTTATTGTGAGGCCGGTATTCAAAACGCCTCATGCCACAGTACATTTAAATTGGACTGAAAGTTTAAGAAACCTTCTTGTACAATATAGTGTTAGATTTAAACCGATCTGTGAACAACTCTTATTCTTTTTGCAATGTCTATTGCATATAAGAAAGCATGTTCGTTGTTATGTTCAGATTTTGGATTTTATTTTTAGTTATGTAGAAAAAGAAGTTATGATAGGAAAATACAGTCTAATTCACCAAAAGTAGAACCCGACACAAAAACATGTTTTTTCTTCTGCATATTCATAAAGATAACAACTTTGTTTTTTCAGTATTTTTTCCTGAATAGATGTGGTTGGTTATCATGAAGTGCTCTAAAGCTAATAATGTAACCATTATCAATGGCAATATCCTCACATGACATATATCATTAATAAAAGATACTTTTTCGGATTAATGATGCAACATGACATGGAATTTTGCAGATATGTTACAATTGCGAAGTGTCTGAAATAGGTTTTCATAATTTTGGAGCAAACTTATAGAACAGATATTTAAAAAGTTTCTACAAAAATCGGATAGTGTTTATCTTTTGGAACACTAAGTAAATGTCTGAAGTTTCGACCCCATTTATCCCTAAAAGTAACACATGAAGGTATATGTTTATTTAATATTTGAATTGAATTGGTGAAAGTTAACTTGTATCGATATTGTCTTCAAAAATTCACCATGATTTCAAACTGTATCGCATGACCCCTAATTAAGTTATGGCACCGTCACTGAAGACATCAATAACGTCGCAGATTTTTTTTTTTTTCGCTGAATATCAAACTGCCACAAG